GAAGTCCACACATCTTCAAGTGGCCATGGATGAGAAACACTGCTTTAGGAACTTGTAGGATCCCATCACAAGCTTGATCCCATCACCTCCAGGTCCATCACTACCCTGACCAAATGAACTAAACCTCTCATGGGAAAAATTTCATATGACCAAAGTTTGTAGATAGTCAATTAGTTGCCTTTCTTCTGCAATAACTTCCAAAGTCCCCAGTCCTTTTATCGTGCTGTTTCTTATTCATCTAAGTAAGCAAATCACCAGCTATTTATTTGATTCTCTTTCCTTGCATCATCAAATTATTTATTCCCTTTTCTTGCATACTCAAATCACGTGCTGAGTCATATTGTTCCTATTATTTCTCTGATGCATTTCATAGCTACATGTATAGATCCGGGTGAATGAAGACAAGGAAATATTATCCAAGCCACACCTAGCAAAATTAGAACAGTTCCATTCATCGGTAGTTTATGCTGAACAAACAGCTGCAAGCAGGAGTTGGGTGGGACCCAAGATAGTATTTCATAAAGGAGGGGCTTCCATATGATAATTTTACTTGCTGTCTTCTGTTTATGACTCTCCTATATTTTCCTGACATGTTCTTGAATATTTTTTTCTTACTATAAAAAGTGTGAAAAATTGAATACCCAACTAAGGAAAAAAAAAAGGGGGGGTTAACAATTTGAAATTGAAATTTTCCCTGCAGGATGGAAGTCAGATTACCTGTTCAGGAGTTAATATTATCCAGGATAGAACAATCACATCTAGTAATAATTTTTATTTCTTGCTGGAAGGAGGAAGGGAATATTTTCTCAAATGCCACTGAGAAAAGGAATATTTCAAAATAAGAGGAAGCGGTAGCAAATGGATTTTTAATTGTTTTATTAGTATGCAAATTTACTTGAATGCCTTATCTAATATATAAAATCCAATCTTTTTACTCCCACTATCAGTTATTCCCTATGGTCAGTGTTTAGAGGGAGAGAGGACTATTTTCACAAGCTGTCAGCCCTTCAAGGTAGGCCAGAACAAAAGATAAACACTACAGGGATTCCAGGAATACTGCTTGACTACCATTTAATTATGCACCTTCAACTCAGAGTTCACTCTTAGCAACCACACAGATTTTCTCCAGGACAATCTGTCCCCAACCTGGTCCTTCATATCTTCCAAGGTGCACCCATCACCACTGTAACTGAGTCCATCCATCTTGCTGCTGATCATCCTCCTCTTCTCTTTCCACCAGCTTTACTATAGTAGATTATACTAATAGAATCTTGAAATCCTGTCTAAGTGTCTCTCTCTACCCTCTTACTAACACAAAGGGTTATTCTGAGTTTCTTTCTCATACTTGCTTCAACCTCTGGACCACATAATTGCTTCTCCAAGTCCATCCTTATTCAGATATGAAGTTCCTTTATACCAGCAATAGGCTTTTGAAAACAACAGACCCACTGAGGGACTCTTATCATTTGAATGTTAGGTAAAATGTCCTAATGTGAAGAGCAAAATGTAATCAGAGATTATATGGAGCAATATCCATCAGTAAAAACCATTAATTCTTGTTTAAACTGTACACTGTCTATATGGAAGTGGAGCAAGACTATGATTTGTTTCATGAAAATACACAATGCAGATGGTTCATATTCTTGGCTCAAATTCAGTCAGCAATTGAATGACTTGATCCTATTATAGTCTCCGGAACTTTCTTGTCTCCTATTGGCAAGCTACAGATTATTTATTTATTTGTCAAACTTATATGGCCGCCCATCTCGCAAGCAGTAAGCATGGCTGTTACCATCTCCTTAGATAACTAATTTGTCACATTTCAGAGTACAGCCTGAACTTAGCAGAAGCTCAGTTGTACAACAGGCATGACATTTCATTTAATGGATCTTTATCTCTAAAGCAGTAAGCAAGGAAGTCATGCTGGAAAACTAGGAAAACCAGTTGGTCTAGTAGTACTTTGGGCATAATTAATGGAAGGAAATTAGTAAAGGGCAAAGTAAAGTGGAAGTGGAAAATGAAAATAGGCTTGCTTTTTGTGAGAAAAAGCAAAGCAAGTGGAATCCAAGAGATGAGGAAAACATAACTTATTTTGAAAGTATTAAGACATTAACTCAATAATGCAATCTTACATTTGGTATCTTATTCCAAAAGGGAGATCACAACAGTGTTACTGTTTCATGTTATTATAAAAAAGATATTTTCTTGCTAAATGTTTAAGTTCCCCTTTTATGATTTCTCTAATGAGGGACACTCTCTCTCACACACAGATATGCAAAAACTCCTTATGTCTGATAAGCTGTAACATGGAAAGAGTTGTTATTTGCATAGCAGTGTTAATATCCCCATTATAAACTACTGTTAGAAAAATCCAAATCAAATTCAGGAAATGTGATGAATAATCAGTAAAGAGTTCAACAAACTAACAATGATTGGAATTCACTGAGGTGACAGATAAAATGCAAGACGTGAAAGCAATTTTCAGACTTTGCTCTTTGTAATCAGTGGACTTGTCCAGTGAAACAGAAGCAGACAAACAAAATTAAATAAATGGCAATTCATCAGAACTTAACTTTATTAAAACAGATGCAGAAACCAACCTGTAAAACAGCATTAGAATCTGATAATGGCAAAAATGTAATACTTCATCAAACAGAACAAAGGAAATAATTGGATCTTTTTTAGGGAAGTATTTGTGAAGCAAAGGCATGGACCATTGTTAAGTTTTTACAACATTTTTAACAAGTCATTATCATTATCTGTTGGAAAAAGAAAAACACTATGCAAACAGTCCTGACTAAACAAACCAGTTCTACTTTACACCCTGAGAAAAAATATCAGGTTATATGGATTTGTCTGCTAAAATAAAAGCATCCACACTTCCAATTTAAATATTTTCATTTTATAGACAAATTTTGAGGTATGGTAATACCTAAAAACACTAAGCTTCTTTTAATTTTTTTTCAGTTCTTTAGAACAATTAGCCAATACAAATATGTATACTGAGGGAAGGTGGATTGGAATAAGTGAGGCTTAAAATTGGAGGAAGAAACATCAATAACCAGCACTATGCTGACAGTACTACTCATACAGCTGAAAATGCAAAGGATCTGCAAGCTCTAGTAACAAAACTAATTGCTGCTGCCTTTGGAAGCCATGCAACATAAAGTTGCTTGTGCTTTTGAGTACTCCTGATGCAAGCTGACTGTCCCTATTAGGATGCCAAGAGGAAACAGATTGCAATGCACCATAAAACCCCAAGTATTGTTCAGCCCATACTGTTGCAAGCAAACAACCAAGCTCAGAGAGCATCAAGGACTCCACAGTTCAACCCTGAGCTACAAATATTCTCTATTACAGTGCTTATTCCTCACAGCAGCAGACATGCTCCTGCCTTGCTTTTCACTTCATTTTTTCACCAGTTCTACATCAATGAAAGCCCTTCAGCCAGTTTGTGCATTCAACCCATTGTAGTCTGTATATCCTTTGCCAATCAAATCCATGGGAAGAGGGACAGTTGCTCTGTTGTGTCAATTCTTGAAAGGATGGAAGGGGCAGCACCTTATTTCTTTCTATTCCGCATTGGTGAGGCCATGCCATGAGTATGGTTTGCAACTCAGGGCGCCACATTTCCAGAAGGATATTGACAGGTCAAAACAGGTTCAGAGAAAGGCAGCAAAGGTAATACAGTACAGGGATTTGAAGATATGCCCTACAGGGACAGGCTGAAGGAAATCTGGAAGTTAGGGCCAAGGAAAGAAGAGTGAGGGATACATTATATCAGTATATCTGCTGATATATGAAATTGACCATAATTATTTTCCACTGCCACCGACATTTTAGGAACAGAAATAATGGGCATAAGCAGCAGCTGTCTAGATTTCATTTAACTACAAGGAAAAAGTTTCTTAAGGCTAGATCTGTATAACAGTGGAACAAGCCACCTGTGGAACTTGTGGGTTCCCCATCTCTGGAGGTTTTTTAAAAAGAGGCTGGAAATTGGACAAAGAGAACAAATGTATTGTCGAAGGCTTTCACGGCCGGAATACGATGGCTGGTGTGGGTCTTCCAGGCTGTGTGGCTGTGTTCTGGAAGTTTTGTTTCCTAACGTTTCACCAGCATCTGTGACCAGCGTCTTCAGAAGACAGGAGCAGTTCTCTCTGTGCCCAGGATGATGTGGCCCTGTTGTGGGTATTTATAGAGATCAGCGAGGGTGCCTGAAGAGGGATGGGGGGGGGTTGGGTTAATGAGTGGGTGCTTGTTTTGGTGTCAGCATATGTGTGTATCTTCCTGGGGGTTATTAGTTGGAAACAAAACTTCCAGAACACGGCCGCACAGCCTGGAAGACCCACACCAGCCAAAGAGAACAAAATTTGATACAAGATTCAGAGGCAAATTTACTGAAATAATTAGCAGACACATTCAAAATATCAGATCATGCAGCAGAGTACCATATCTTAAAGTAATCTCAACAAAGGTTTTGGTGGAAATTTTTATCATAATTCCAGAACGAGAGATTTTTGGGTCATGGACTGGTGCTTTCTCTCACCTTCAGCCAGAGATCTCTGTTCTTACCACTGCCCCAAGCAAATTGACTCTCTCCATCTAGATTCTCTGCCTCCTCCCCTTCAAGTAGATCTTATTCTTCAATCCCTAGAGATTTTCTTGGCTCTGAGTTGTAGCCTCCTGCTCCTCTTGCCCCTTAAAAGTTCAGCATGGTTCCTATCACAGTTCCTTTCTCCCCAACTTGCTTAACTCTCTCCTCTTCCTGGAAACTAAAAAACTGTGCGGCTGTTTCCAGTCTCCATCTTGCTTACATCTTTCAGGCACCTCTTTCCCTCTGCTCCAGGTGTTCTTCCTCTTTTCCCTTCCTCTCACACCTCCCAACTCTCTCTCTCTCTCCCCTTGTCTCGGGACAAAGGGAGGGACTTAGAAGAACCTGTTGGGCCAGCCTCGCCAGGTGTCTTCCCTCCCGCCGCCATCCCCCCCCCCCCCCGGATTTTGAGGTACGAGCTCACCTGCCTCCCTAAATTTGGGATTCTGCATTGGCTGTCTGGACGAATGTGGGAGAGGGAAGGGTTTGCCATGCTTTGCCTCAGTGAATGGGGATTACTCATTCACCAGGCTGAGCAAGTACTGCAACGTGATACTACTAGACCAAATGCAAACTAGCACAGTAAGAGAATACAGTATTGGGAACCTGCGAAGTCGGAAGGGAAGGGTGAAGAGAAGCAACATCTATTGGCAGCGACCCACAGAGGCTTCCGTTGCGAACCAGTCTGACCACGGGATTGCCAAAGTGGCCGAGAAGGCTCCTTCTTCCAGCCAAGGTGTTCACTTCCAGTTCCTCTAATCCGATAGAGCGATACTACCTGTTGACTAGAGAGCTACAGAACGGAAATCAAACGAGGCAAGCGCCTTCACAGGGGCATTCTAAGGACCTGAAAAGAGGAGGCGAGACGCGGAGTAAGGCGGGGGGGGAGCTATATCAGATATTATCGCCAAGCACGCCGCCAACCACAGAAGCCAGAATCAGCTCGGGCGCCCCGGGACCTGGCTGCGGCGCGTACGCGCGTGCAACCGCAGCCAGAGAGCGCGTCGGAGAAAGAGGTGGGGAGAGACTCGGCGGTGTCTCGCTGACAGTCCCGCCTGTCCGGACTCTCCAGTCCCAGCATGCAACGCGTCATAGTTTGAATGGCGCTGCTGGCTACGGCGAGTGGGCCGCGGTGCTAAGACGCCGCCGCCGCCAGTTCGACGGCTTGCAGCCCAGGCCCAGGCAGCGGTGGAGCCCCTGGCGCGCTGGACCATGAGCAGCAGCAGGTGAGCGAACGCCGGTCCTCGGCGCTTCTCGGACGAGCGGCGCCCGGGCTGCTGCGTCCGCGCGCTCTAGCTACGCAGGCCGGGCTCAGATTCGAAAGCGGGGAGCGGGACGAAGGTGCCTTTCTCTCCGCGCCCTCCGTCCTCAGCTCTTCCTGCTGTGGGATTCTTCTCTGGGGCGCCTCTGAGCAAGAAGGCCCATCTTTGCTGTCTCCGTTGGCAAGAGCGTTCCTGGGCGGGGATGAAGTTGGCTAGTCTCTACCTGCCTCTGAACCACCCCCTTAAGTGGTGCTTGTTGAGAAGGCTGCACCTGCCCCGTGTTGCCCGAGGAGGGATTCCCCAAGTAGGAATTCTCTCTCAAGTTTGGCTTTGAAACGGAGAAACGCCTCACTTAATATCATCAGCGTTGGTCTTTCCATTCTCGTGCTGCCAAGTCTGAAGGATGAAAAAACAACTGTAATTCTTAGTTTTCTTTCAGACTCCTTGGCTTTGTTTTCAAAAAAGTCTCTAGACTTTGGATGCAGAGAATCTCTTCAAGCTACGACTTTCTGCCACTTAACAAGGGAGAAGTCCTATTTGTCTGAATGGAATTAGCTTCTGAGTAAGCATGCTTAGGATTGCATTGGTGTGACTTTTCACATCCTGTGATTTATGAAATTGGTTTTGCTACCTCTCTATATTGCAAAATTATATTCTGCCCAAAATCTTTTTTCCAAAGCAAAAAGCAAATATGTAAGCAGCTGTGGATGCCTGACGTGGATGCTTTAAATGTGACAATATTGTTATTGAGTAATTTTGGTAGAGGATAAAAGATCTTAACTAACTTAGGGGTATTTGAAGACATATGTGCACATAGGATGTGTCTGCTCAATAGCATGAAATCAAAGTGGAAGTGCTACAGAAGGCAAGTTATAAGTGTATGGTATCTGGGGCTCTTAAATGTTGCTAAATTACTACTCTCGGCAGCCCAAGCCCAAATCAGCATGGCCAATAAAGAGAGATGCTGGGATATATAAGTCATCAATATCTGTACCAATTGTGTTGGTATTGCATAGTGCAGAATATTAATTATGCCTGTCTCCAGACTTCCTCTCTGGTCTCTCAGAAGGAGACAGGGTGGCATAAAGAGAAAGAGGACTATGGGATAGAAATAAAAAATAGAAATGCAAGTGGAATGTGCATTTCAGGAAATGGAGGTTAGTAATTATGTGATTTTCATTGAACCAGAATATTTAAAGAATTATCTCCTTGCACATGAGCCTACAGATCAACTGGAACTGTTACTGGAAGTCCTGATGCCAAGGAAGTACATCTGGAAGTACCATAAAATAGGACCACCTCTCTGGCAGGCTCCACAAGAGGAGTTTTCTCCTAAGAAAGGGTCACCTGATTAGCTGGTTTTTGGGCAGATTCTTGTTTTCACCTGGGCTGTTAACTGTTTTTTAAGAAGACTGGCTTATTGTGAATGGTCTTGGGATTCTTAAGGGGCCAAAAGATCTATAGATTTTCTGCAAAAGAAATATTTTCCCTTAACATTTATTTCCTAAATTGTGTAAGATGTATAGTTATTCTGCTCCACATCTTAGATGGCAATAGATATATAGAAATGTAATCCTTTAAGCCACTTTACAGCAAGACTTAAACTTCTACCACATCATTTTAATTATGTTGACTTGACCTTACTGACTCTTTAGTACCAACTAAGAGCAGTGTTTTGATATTAGCTAATTCTACATGTAGGTCCAGATCATGACATTTAATATTTATGTGCATCATCTACATACCTCTTGTCTATTCCAGGATATTTGCCATTTTATATTTTTTCCTTAATTTTAAAAGCTCAAGATAGCATGTATCTTTTTTTTTCTTAGCTGTGCTTCCCCGCTCCCCACACAACATTTTATATATACAGAGATATTGACTGATTCATACAATGTGGTTTTCTCAGTTTTAGTTTCATCTGATTATTTGCTTCATTTACATCATTTTTAGTTTGCTTTCCATTAAATGTCATCCCAAAGACTTGAGCCATTGTAATTTATCATTTTGTGTGAGTCAGGCCATTGTTGCTTGTTCAACAAGAAAGTAATGTTCAGTTACTGGTGACTTCATGAACATGTCCATATAGCATTCCTGACAACAATAAAGAAGAGTTCTTGCAGCATTTCTTTAAAAAAAAAAACTTTCCAGTATAGCTTATAGCCCAGTATTCTGTGGTATTCCATCTAAGTACTAACCAATTCAGATCCTACTCTGCTTTTTGAGATCAGCCAGGTGCTGCCAACAAACCCAGTTGTGAAAAGACCCAGTGAAATATTATGTGTGAGCACAGCCATTGAGAATAGTAACTTAGTTACTCAAATTAGTAAGAAAATCAGTGTTGCAGTCCTGTTTGTACTTACCTGAGAATGAGGTCCTTTGAACTCAGTGGCACTTCCTTGTGTATAGATAGATATACATGATCAAGTCACAGTCCTATGCACTCTTTCCTAAAAGTAAGCTATACTGAATACAGTGGATTTCTGTATAAACTTGGATAGCATATTCTGCTGATTGAAAATTCTGTTTCATTATAAGAGATTAATAGATGTGCTCCATTTTTACTGAGTTTGAGGCTCATACGATATTAAGAAAAATGGCATAAAGGAAAGTTTGTGTTATATTGGTAAAAGTTTCTAGAAAATATCTTCACTGTGTTACAGCATACTGCAATGTGTAACCATAATTCTCCTGGTACGTTTGTTGAGGATTTCCATTCTAATAGTTAAGTTAAAAAAAACTGTGTTGGCCGTGAGAAAATAATCCAAATTTCACTGAAACAATATCTTTATTTGGCCAACTAAAGTTTTATACGCTTTTCTAGAACTCTTTTGCAGTCCAAATGATTAAAAGTACGAAAAAAAGAGAGTTGCCTGAACTTTGAGCCAAGTATACTAGTGTTCCTAGATGGAGTCGGATTCTCCAGACATGCAAATTGAGTATTATCCAGTACAAGGGATAGTTGTACTATGGGCTGTCCCACAATTTGCTGGGAAGAAGGAACAAATTCCAGATTCTAAAGTCAAAATTGTTTGCATCCTATACAACATGCACAGGTCACTTGGCTTGTGGAAGGCAGAGTAGAAATCAACTAATTGTTTTAATGTTAATAAAGTTAGAGATAATTTAAGCTTGCTGTACTAGAAACAAAGATAAATTGGGTAGGATTAGCTAGTGTTGGGAGGGAATTTATCCTCAGATAATAAGTTCCTGTAAAAGGATGTGAAATGTTCTTTCTCTTGTGGTTTAACACAGATTAAAGTCAGTTTTTTCCCATTACTGTAGAAAAATAATTTTATTTATTTTATTTTTATTTGTCAAATTTATATAGTCACCCATCTCACCAAACAAGTGACTCTGGGTGGCGTACAACAGAGCATAATTTAGTTTTGATATCACTTTTTTCTTGTCTTTCTCTTTCAGGAGTATTTGAAATTACTTTTAACATTATTTAGAAAATAATTTTCAGATTGTTTTCTTTAATGCTCTTAACTTTACATGTTTCATGTAGAAAAATTAATCCATACTGTATTGTAACTGTCACAGATTAACTAATACAGTAGTAGCCCCACAAGTGGTCCTGGGAAAATATCTGGGCTTTTCCCTCAGATTAAGTTAAAGTTGTCTCTATCCATCCTTGAGTTAGCACAAAACAATGCTGGCATAAAATCTGCTGTCCCCATTGCCAGTCCCTATCCTGCTATTGCATTTGTTATGAGTTATTGCTGAATGATTTTATTCAGATTGTGGGTGTGCTACTTATTACTGGGAAGGTGATTGATCACCCCCCCCCCCCCCCCCCCCCC